TACAATTCTCTATTTCTTTTATACATCTATTTTAACACTTATATTAGAAGCCGTTAAACAAAATAGGGAAACATACAACTAATGACAACTAATAACATCTAATAAAAGATAATGCTAACACTCGCGCTCAAACTGGTACAAAAATCTCTTATGTCCAGCTTGCTAAGAGCATCATGAAACAGTTTGTTCCCAACTCCTTTTGTGAGAATATGAGCAAGTTGTTAGCCAGTTTTCACAAAAGGAGTACATATAGTGCCACTAGTGAGTTTTTCCTTGATGACATGGCGATCAATTTCAACGTGTTTTGTCAGGTCATGCTAAACTAGATTGTGAACTATGTTGATAGCAGCCTTATTTTCACAATATAGCCGCATGGAATCCATCTGATCAAGACCCATATCACTTAACAACAACTTAATCCACAAGAGTTCACACACACCTTGTGCCATGGCTCTAAATTCTACCTCTACACTAGACCTAGCCACCACGTTCTACTCAAGTGAAGAGGCATCAATAAAGGAATATAAGGTTGAGTCCGACCCAAAAGAGGATGAGCCTATGGAAGATCCAGTGGAGGTGATTGAGATTGAGTCTTCACTCTAAGAAGGAGCCCACAGAGGGGAGCACAGATGAGAGCATAGGAGATGCTGAGGCGGTTTTTGAGGATTGTGATATCCAAAATGGGCTGGAAATTAGTTCGCATGTATTTGTTAGAATTTACCCACTAGGAGGTTGTGCATGGAAGTCTAAAAATTGAGTGGGCACATATATTGGGCCTGTCCAAATCCTAAAGGAGGAGAACCCTTGGTTGTACCAATTAGGCCCCTTTCCCGATGGTTTCGCTGAGAGGATGTGCAATCTCTTTGCATCTGGAGCATTCAATACCTTATGCCCAACCCAAATAGGATTATGAAAACCAATGGTTTTGTTAATTTTAGAGAGACTGAAGGACCTACCAAGAAGAACCCATACCATTGTTAGGGTATTATGTGAATGAAATTGGTGTTTCTGTGAGAGAACTGTGACGATTCTTTGGATTTTTTCAAGCCACAAGGTAGCCGAAAGCCCTTGTGCGAAGGGACTATCCATGGTTGTTTGATTTGTGTTTCAGAGAAGGGTTGGTTTCCGGGTGTTTCAAGATTTGCAGAGACAAGCTCTCCGAGCGTTCAGAGGTTTCAGACTCGTATGCACAGCCTTCGCCTCAACCTTGTTTTAAATAGCCAGGGCCAGCCACGCGCATTGCGCGCCTCTTGCTAACCTTGAGTTTGCGGGGGCTTGTTAGAATTTCCCATCTTTACCTTCACCTACTCCACTACACACTCCACTTCACCTACCTCCACTTCACCACACACTCCACTTCACCTAACCCACTATCACCTCCACTACACCTACTACCACATTTTCTTCTATATATAGATTGTATAGGAATTGTAATGAATTAATCTTGTAATACAACAATCTTGTAATCAATAACAATCGATATTACATAAATTTCAACTGTAACTTCTCCACTTAGTACAAAATTGTTCAATTCAGGGTATCAAAGCCTATACCAGAAACTATTTATAGCTTTCTTGGCTTTAGGATCCAATTTACTTTCTTTGACATGAAGATAAGTAGGACAACCAAATATATGCAAATAATTATAGTCTGTAGCAAGTTCCCCAAACCAGCAAAAAAGTTTAAAGTTTTGTAGAAGTTGGATAATATTCGTGTCTCTTTGTTGTTCTTTGCTCCTTTGAAGCTTTTGGATTTTTTGGTTTTGTCATGTTTATTTACCATAACTTCAATGGTTCATTGTCTGTCATTTTCTCTTATTCCAGATTCGAACTTTAGGAATGCTACGGTCCAGATTTCATTCACTGCCAGGTGCCTTTAATGCCTGTTTAATTCCAGAGGAAAAGAGTGAGCCAACAAAAAAGAAAGGACTGAAGGCCACTTTTTTTCGGAGCTTTGTTGAGGTTATTTCTTTTACTACTCTAGATCTTTTTTCTACTGCTTTTGTTGGATCTTCGTTCTGATAATTCCAAGAAAGTATGGAAACTTCTTCACTTGAATTTTATTTATCTAATTGTTTTTTTAGATCCCATCTAACAAAGAAAAAGAAGCAGCTAGATTTGCTCAACTGTGGAACACAATAATCAGCAGTTTCAGAGAGGAGGATTTTATAAGTAATAGGTAACCCTGAGTGTGCTGCATAGGAAGATAGATTCTTTTTTTTGTCTTAAAATGTTCTGAGAATTGTTTTTTATCTGAATCTTTTTATATTCTGCTGTAGAATGTAAAACTTGGTATGATTTTCAGGGAAATGGATCTGTTGCTTGTTCCATATTGGGCTGACAGTGAATTGAACCTCATACAATGGCCCCCATTTTTGCTTGCAAGCAAGGTTCGTTTCATGGCTCAAAATTTTGTTTAAAACAGAACTGTTGCAGAACACTCAATTGCAAAAAAAAAAAAAAAATGTAATTTTTGAATCAATTAAATAATATATGAAGTTAGAAGTGGCACTCAAATGAATTTATTTATAGGAAGCTTGAATTTACACCAATTGGAGATCAAAGAGAAATAGTCTATTGATATAGTATGGTTATGGCAACATAGAGCAAGTATTGTGCCAAAAGGGCAAGAGGATGGCAAAAAGAGTTATGTTGACATGGTGAGAAAGGAAGAATTTTGTTTGGGTATGTAATTTGGACTTAGGCTTGTTGAGTTGCAATTATTGTGATGAAATCCAAATGCAAAATAAAGATCAAATCAAGAGAGAGAAGACAAATGCCTCAATTAGGGGTAAAACCCCTAAGGTCTAGGGAGAGAAACTAAGCTCTACTCCAATCTCAATGTATATTCTTTTATTCCAAAACTAAGTACAGTGAGTATTACATCACCTATTTATAGACTACAACTAATAAGCTATTTAACAAACACTTAGTCTATTTATTCTACTACATCATACTCTCCGTCTTTAAGAAACTTGTCCTCAAGTTTAAGTAGCAACTAAGTGAACTCAACGTAACACTACTCATGTAACCGTAGGTGAGAGGTACGTGTTGCGTTTCCTCGTCCAAGAACAAATGATTCTCACAACTTAGCCACTTGCAAATACATCGAACTTCATCCTTGCATCCTTGGTTCAACAACCAACGGTGTGTCCATACTTCCTCGCTAAAACTTGGACATAACCCCACTTCCAAACCCGTTCACCTCTAACCTGCATACTAGTGCCGAAGAGTACTCATTCTGTCACAACGAGACCAATGGGCTGGTAAATGACTTCTTCCAAAGCAAGCTTGAGAAACAGTGACACAATAAGAGGATGGACAATGCATCCAATAGGCAAAACACATGAGAACAACTGATCACGAATTGGAATTCGACATTGCACACCTTCTTTCCTTCCTTCCTTCGGACACAAATGTGGATGGAGCACACAAGAAGCTACCTACTCAACTTGAAACAACTTTCTAAAGAGGTATGAGAGGAGTCTCAACAATATAGCTTCAAACAAATTCTTTGAAGCTGCCAGAAATATTAATGTCGGTTTGCAATGCCAGACAATTGATCGACTCATTTGTTTTGACTCATCTCTTTAATCATGAGTTTGCTTGGATTAGCATCATTGCCCTTCCAATTGAGAGATTCATCTCTGTTCTTCACCAAACTTTGAAGCATAAACCATTACAGAGGATATCCAGCACTTAATATATATCACAGCCAAAATGATCCCAAAACAAAGCCCCATGAAAACTTACTCTGGAACACACCAATGAAAAATTTGATCTAGGATTTTCAAGTCAGTTACAGCAGCAACCAAATTGAACCATATTTGAATTATTGAACCAGAACTAACCAGATCCAAAAATCTGTCAAAATTGAATCCAAAAAAGTGACGAAATTGAACTGCCAACCAAGCTTCGAAGTCAAGCTTTGTTTGCAATCCAAGTGACGAAATTGAAAAACTGTGTGAAATCCGGAGTGAGACTCGAACAATCGAAGTCTGTGAATTCGACTAAAGAAGAGGATTCAAGAACTCCAACGAATGCGAACTCGAATCAAGGAGCTAGGTCGCAATCACAATGAACAACAGCAACTCCAAATCAAAATCAAATTTGCAACTCCAAATCGAAATCAAATTCCCAGGTCAGTTTGTGACTTCAAACTAGGAGTTGCATGAGATTGCAACTTCGAATCTTGCGAAGAACTCCAACTCACAAGTCAAACTTTGATGAAATCTGAAGAACAGTAGTTGCAAGTGTGCGCCGAGACTTACGAATCTATTCGAATGGACTGCAATCAGGTTACGAGTGTGAAATACTAGACCTACAAAGCTCAATCGCAAGTCCAATCATGAGTTGATTCTATCACAATCGGTTGTATTACAAGTTCGAACTGTGATGACAAAACTAGATTCGAAGTTGAGGAAGTTGAAACGCAATCAAGAATCAACTCCCGAACAATAACCAGTTCGCGAAATCAACAGTCGATTGTGTTTTTTTCAAAGTCGACTTGACTTGCTAACTAGGGTTCTCAACCACATTGAGCGAAGAAACTGAATAGCCAAATTAGAGTCACATGTCGAACCTCCAGAACCAAAACAGGAGTAGATTGAATTTTTTATTTTTTATTTTTTATTTTTAAAAGCTTCAAGTCGATTCAAAGTATCAAGTCTTCGAAACAATCAATCAGTTCACAGATTAACGGCAATCTTCGAATCACTTTCTAGATGTCAGGTTTGAGTTCAGACTTCAGATTGGCTTTTGGATTCTGGTTCGTCTCAATCTAGGGCTTCAAAACTTTGTTTGAGAGATCGTCCTCCCAGAATTGACGTTGCCATTAGATCTACACTGTCATACAATAGGATCTGAGATACACATTGTTCATGACTATTGTTGTGCGGATTGATAATCGAGAAATTCAATTGGAAGCTTAAGCTCGAAGATAGGGCTTTGATACCAAATGATGAACTCCAAATGCAAAATCAAGATCAAATCGAGTGAGAAGACAAATGCCTCAATTAGGGATAAAACCCCTAAGGGCTAGAGAGAGAAGCCAAGCTTTACTCCAATCTCAATGTATATTCTTTTATTCCAAAACTAAGTACAATAAGTATTACATCACCTATTTGTAGACTACAACTAATAAGCTATTTAACAAACATGTAGTCTATTTATTCTACTACATCATATTGTTTAGACATTAGTTGGGAAAGTGAATCCAACCTTTATGAGATAATTTTAGATTGGCTTGCAAAGAAAGGAAATTCCCTTGAAGACGATATTGAGTGCTAGCTGTTTTTACAACTCTTTTAGTGAACTTGTTATTTGAAGATCAACTTGTGCAAATCTCTATTCATCTTCTTCAACTCGAAAGTGAGCCACCTTTTCATATAGAAAGGGAAAGATTTATAAGTACTAAAAGTATACTATGAACAAGGTGATCTTAAGGATCATCCATGCGTTTGAAGTTTATATTAATTTGAAATGACATCTACTTTTCATGTTGCAAATATTTTGGAGCTTTAGCTCTGAAGATGCTTTCCTGACTACATTCATTTATAGAAATTTTTGTAAGTAACTTGAACTTTGTGATACAAGCTTATTTGTTGCTTTTGTGAACTACACTGTACATTCATTGTAACCCTGGCACCATTTATGAAATTTTGGCATGTCTATTAGTAGTTGTGATTGAATGTTTCAGAACATTAATCTAATTTTTTTAACGGTGCATAATTTTGTATAATTCCATTGGAATTTACTGACTTCCTGAAGACTATATTTATCTACTCTATGTCAACTGGCTAGATCCCAATAGCATTGGACATGGCTAAGGATAGCAATGGCAAGGATCGAGATCTGAAAAAGAGAATTGAGGGTGACAACTATATGTCTTGTGCTGTTTGTGAATGCTATGCTTCATTTCAAAAAATTATCAAGTTCTTAGTTCATGGTGATCGTGAAAAAGAGTAAGTTTTGCTACAATATAAGAATTTTGTAGGAGAAATTAATATACATATCCATGTTTTATTATAAGGCTTCATTTCAGGTCTGCCTAGCTATGAAGCACGAACACTTGCCTAGAGGTCACGTACTGGTGTCCGATACTTGTTGGACACAAGCCAGAGATGTGTCATACATGTTGTACAAAAGTTCCTTATTTTTTAGTCTGACACGCTAGGGACAAGTGTCCTAGTTTTTTATTTTTTATTTTTTATTTTTTCACTAGAGTAGAATAATATATGATATTTAAATATGATAAATGTATAAAATTATATGTTTTGCACATGTCCCTCATGTGTTTTGTCCTTCATTTTTTGAAAATTGGTGTATCTGTGTCTTTTGTCATGTCCCGTGTCCGTGTCCATGCTTCTTAGCTACCTAGCATTTCTTATGTAATTTCATATATTTGTCCAATGGCCTTTCCAGGGTTATAGAATATATATTTTCTGAGGTTGGCAAGCATATAGAAGCAGGTGATCTATTGAGTGTGTACAAAATGAGTGCTCTGCCTAGCCTCTATAATCACTTCGTCAAGCTCATCAAGTACTTGGTAAATATATTTGCAATGTATCTTAATATCTCATGGCAGTTGCTTTTAAGTTACTGTTGGATGAGATTTATGAAGTATTCACACTGAATTATTTTCATTTCTGCAGTTAGAGAATAAGCAGGAAGACAGAGATCAAGTTGTGATTATTTTCCAGGACATGCTAGAGGTTGTGACAAGAGACATAATGAAGGAAGATCACATATCCAGGTGTTGCAATTTGGTTGTGATTACACCCTGATTTATATTAGGGAAAAATGCATTTAAATGAGAACAACTCAAAATAATTACATTTTCACAGAGGTGCAATTGAGACTGTTCAGTGCAAGTGAATGCTGTTGCATGGGACAACTTTCACTTGCTTTGATTTGACCTGCATAAAAGTACAATTACTTTGAATTGTTCACACTTAAATGCAATTTCCACTTTGTATTACTTACTACTAGAGACCACTCTGATCTTGTTTTTGCTCCCTTTTTTATTTTTATGTCAATAGCTTGGTTGATTCTATACATGGTGGATCAGGACATGAGGGGATGACCCCACTTGATCAACAATATCAGTTATTTGCATCTGATGGGGCAATAAGGTTTCCATTGGAAGAAACAGAAGCTTGGAAAGAGAAGGTGATTGGTGGAGATATATCACAATGAATATTTGTCTTCAACTGGTAATACCTGTTAATTTTGGAGCATTTCTGCAGATCAAACGGCTTGATCTATTGCTTACAGTGAAGGAGTCTGCAATGGGCATACCATCTAACCTAGAAGCTAGAAGGCGCATTTCCTTCTTCTCGAATTCATTGTTTATGGATATGCCTTCGGCACCCAAAGTCAGCAATATGCTTTCCTTCTCGTAATTTTCCCAGATTCTTTTGCTTGTGAACTTGAGTTTTGCTTGTGGCAATTTATTGTGTGAGAGGAGTGAGCCTTTGATTTCTTGGTCTTGTTTAATATCACATTACTGTCTTTTCATTATATGGCATTGATAATCAATTTCCACTGTGTGTTATGGCAATGTTTGTCGTAGTGTTTTGACTCCATATTATACGGAAGATGTGCTCTTCTCACTGCATGAATTGGAAGTGCCAAATGAAGATGGAGTTTCCATCCTTTTCTACCTGCAGAAAATTTTTCCAGGTTTCTTTTTCATTATGGGAAACAGTGCAGAAAATGTTAATTTTTCCCGTATCCATTTCAAGTATTTCTTTAAATTTTTTGTGGTGTCAAATTGGTCTACAGATGAATGGAGCAACTTTCTTGAGCGAGTAAAGTGTAGCAATGAAGAAGAACTGAAAGAATCGGATGAACTTGAAGAAAAACTACGTCTTTGGGCATCATATAGAGGCCAAACATTGACTAGAACTGGTAAGCTTTTTGTTTCTTGTGTTTGAGCAAGTCCTTTTTCAGGCAGGGAGCAAGATGAAGTGCATGTTCAGTAGCACCAAGAACTTGTAGCACATCACCCATTCACTTTTAATTGTGCTGATACATTGTTACAAATTCCAGTAAGAGGCATGATGTATTACCGGAAAGCTTTGGAGCTTCAGGCCTTCCTTGATATGGCCGAGGATGAAGGTGCTAATTCTTCCACCACGACAATTTGTATTGTTTTTGTGCATCTCTTCGCTTGGTATTCATAATAATGCTAGTCGTTAACCCTAAAATGATTGTAAATTAAGAAACGATAAATGCTTTTGTTACTTGATGACTGCCCATGATCAGATTTAATGGAGGGCTATAAGGCTGTTGAATTAAATATGGAGGATCAGATTCAGGGACAAAAATCATTGTGGGCACAATGTCAAGCAGTGGCTGATATGAAGTTCACATACGTGGTCTCTTGCCAGCAATATGGGATCGACAAGCGATCTGGAAATCCTCGTGCGCAAGACATTCTAAGGCTCATGACAATGTATGTGTTCAGTGTATTCTTTTGTGGATGTGATGATTCGCATAACTTACCTTTGTGAATATATTCGTTTTCACAGGTATCCATCTCTTCGTGTAGCTTACATTGATGAGGTAGAAGAACCCAGCAAAGATAGATCTGAAAATTTTAACCAGAAGGTTTACTATTCTGCTCTAGTGAAGGCTGCTTTGCCAAAGTCCATTAATTCTTCAGAGGCAGTACAAAATTTGGACGAGGTAAAAATCAAGCCTCTCTTTTAAAAGATAGAAGCGAATATCAGTATATGATATTTGAAGAATGAAATCAAAATGTCATAGTTGTAGCCATTATTTTTAGATGGTAAAAATAAAAAAATTTGGACGAGGTAAAAAACAAGTCTCTATTTTAAAAGATTTAAAGAATGAAACCAAAATTTCATAGTTGTAGCCATTATTTTTAGATGGTAAAAATAAAAACAAACTTAAAAGAATGGGTATGGCAATCAGTTGTCCAACACAACCATGATATTTGTTTTGATAAGAACAGTGTTGTTCATTAGCAGTGGAAGGAAATAGAAGGGTACAAGGTCACATCTTGTCAAAGCCAGTGTTTTTTTTTTTTTAAGAATGGAAATTGTTCTAGTATAACAAACAAGAATAGGAATGTGGTATGCCACGTGCTCTAACATGTGGTATGATAGGGTACGTTTATACCGATCACAATATTAGAATTTATTTGGCTACTAAAAAATGTTAACAGTAATCATTTGGTAACAATTAGATATCAAATGAAACATGGTCTATTATTTTTCAATCTTCAAATTAATTGCGTAAAAACACATTCCTAGCATTATGATTCAATTTTTTATCTTCTGTCCTGCCAAAACTCTACCTAGATTTTAATTTGTTATTTTGAATTATTTTCTGAAGCAATGCATTGAATAAATAAGTAGGAAATGAAATTTGGATTACTAAATTTAAGAATGAAAGTGAACCATGTTAACAAACTCTAACCCATAACACTGTATTTTGATTCTATTTCATTGAAAATTTTGCCACAATAGGGCCTTGAATCAGAAAAAGAAAATTTTCATTTTAGAGATCCTAATTTGGCACTTGAGGTGTATAATCCGGGCTTATTCAAGGAGTCACTGTTTCTATGAGCTGAAGATTGATTAAAAAATATTATTATGAGTAATATGTTAAAATCATGATGAAAAGGCCAAGTGTTATTTATACAAAGAAACCATGGTTGGAATTTAAAGAGAGATAACATTAATTCTCAAATTCTTACTTCTCTACTTAATATCATCTATATCTCATGAGATATGCTAGAATTGGTTTGAGGCCTCTCTCTCCTCTAATTAATAGTTGTGAATTGTTCTTCAACCCTTACACTCTCCAAGTAAACCAAACTAAGCCCTGTGTCCTAATCAGGTGGGGTAAGGTACATGAATATCTTTTCTCCATTCCGCTCTATCAAGAGTTCTATGCTCCGTTAAATTAAAGAAAAATCATATATTTTTGTACTACCACATGTCATATTAGTTTAGGTCTTCCTCTTTCCCAAACATATCCATTTACAATGATCACATCATTCTTCCTTACTGTTGCATCAATCAATTTTTGTTCTACATGACCAAATCATTTCTCTGTTTTCACTCAACTTATCTTCAATTGGTGGTACTCTTACCATTTCATGCATATATTCATTTTTAATTTTTCTTCCCTAGTTTTACCACATGCTTTTTAGTTGCCCAATATTTTTTCATATGAAGCGTTGTTAGCCTTATAGTTATGTAAAAATTTCTTTCAATTTTGTTATCCATCAATCACATAATATGGCAAAAAGCGATCCTTCTTTTTTTTTTTTTAGGTGAATAAGTCATAAAATAAAACAAAATAACCTATTTATATTGTACAAAATGACATTACAAAATAACCATAGTACCCTCAACTTAACTAAATAATGACATAAGAACATATAACTATTCTAACAACCTGTTTATATTGTACTGCTGCAGCTTTTGCATTTTGTCAATTTAATATGTACGTATTTTGCTCTCAATATTGTTTCATGGTATCAAAGCCATACAAACGGCTGACCTAGCTTCTGTTGCACGTCGTCTCCAGCAGTCACAGGCCCTCACAGCCCCTTCGCAGGCCTTCACCAGTGCCCTCTTTTTCGTCTCGCAATGGTCTCTCTCTCTTTGTCGCAGACCATTGTTCGTGGTTCGCTCTCCGAACCATTCTACTGTTCGTGGTTCATTCTCTGAACCATTCAACCGAAACAGATGCTTCGTCTCTCATCGTCTCTCCCTCCGATTGCCTTCAGTCAATTAAAACCATGATGTTTAAATGCAATAATGCAACACATGCAATTATTCAATTCTAATAAAATGTTCTCAACACACCTCCATCCGACAATGGGTTTTCATTCCATGAGTTCAACAATTCGTTATGCATTACAATAGGTTTTTGTCATCCTATTGTATCAATCTCTACAACAATGCCATTCTCCACCAATGACCAACAACAATCTCTAACAATGATATAATTTCATAAATTATACATCTTTATCTCCAATTTCAAGATAATATTATAAATTCCTCATTCCATGCAATTTTACAATTCAGGGTTTCTACAAAATTGGGGCTTTCTCAAATTAAATCACCCTCATGCTATTTTATACAATGAAAACAGGTTTAATAAGAAACTTATAGAGAAATGCCCAATTATTACCAAACCCTATCATGCAATTTCTCAAATCTCTACCAATAGCTCAAACTTTAACTATCAAAATACCCACACATACACCCATAGATCCATATTAAACAAATGAAAGAGAACCCTACCTCAATAGGAGAAAAGAATAAGGAAGAAAACCAAAATCTTAATGAAAACATAATCATCTTGGATCAAAGTGAAGCCCTCATCGTGCTCCACGATGTTAATACTTGAACTTTTGAAAGAATCATGCTCGAAGACACCTAATCTAAGGAGTTTGTGTATTAAATGTGTTGGGTGAGAAATATAGAGAGAGAGGGAGAGAAGAGGGAAAAGAGAGGAAAGGACTGAACAAGAAGGGAGAGAGAGAGAGAGAGCTGAATAAATGAGCTCCAGTCGGATTGGCGATCGATCGCTCTCAAAGGGATTGATCACCTTTCAGTCGCTGCATTATTGGAATGATTGATCGTTCCCAAATGCAATCGATTGCTTTGCCCAGAAAAGTGAGTTTTCACTCTCAAACTCTATGAAACCACAACCAAACTCAAATTCTCAATCACAAGTGTGAAATAAAATAAACTAACATCAATCATACATGGTGGCAATGTAAACATGTGTAACTACCCATTGAGATAAATGGTTTGCATCTGAATGTGTAATGGATATTGGTAATTGGGTCGGTTGGAGACCCAAGGTGTTACAATCTGCCACCCTAATCTTATTCTTACCAGAACATGGGATACAAGTGAAGAAAGAACTTCAAGAACTTGTCATGTGGCCAATAGCACCATAATTGATAATCTAGGCAGCAGAAACAATGGAGGAATTCTACGCACACTCATGGATACCTGTTTGTGTAAAATGGGATGAAGCAGAATTGCAAGCATGGGCATAGTTGTCAAATCGTGAATCAAAATGACCTTGTACCGAATCGCGAATCCAATCAAATCGTGAATCGTAAAGATTTGGTCACTTTTTCTAAATTACTTAGAAAAATATATTTACACACTCAGATGTTAAATATATCTTATAATTACAAAATATTTAGACGTATATCAACGAAAATGTTATTTTGAATGATGGTGAGAAGTTTACACAATTTCCATGCAAGATCCAACTTACCTTTTTCCTTTTTAGATGTTGCTTATCAGCCATTCTTGATAAAAAAGTAAATAAAGATAAACTTTTAATTTTCAAGTAACAATAATTTAAAAACGATGTTGATATTTCATAAACATACATACCTTTACAAGTAACAATGATCAAATAATAAAAAAAAAGTAATTATAATCTTTTATTTTAAAACCTAAACCATTTTAAAAGGTATATATTTATGCTTACTGTTCAAAAAAGTCTTTTTCTAAGAAAAAAAAGAATTTGCAGAATCATTACGTTTAACTGACTTAACCCATGTAATATTAAAGTATATTTATTTCAATAAAATAGCAATAGATAATTTATCTATGAAGCATGGACACGCCAAAATAAGTGCCGTAGCAGTGTAGGACACGTGGACACGTACGGGACACACCATGAAGCATGGACAGGCCAAAATAGGTGGCGTAGCAGTGTTGGACAAGGGGACACATACGGGACATGCTATTTGGCGTGTCCCTTTAATTTTATTTTATTTGTTTTTGAAAGGGACACAAAGGGAACACAACGAGACACGCCATCACGCAGAAAGATTTTAGAAATCAAAGCCCTAAATCTAAAAATCAGAATAGAAGAAGAAGCTGGTTACTTGTAGCAGCTTTGAGACATCAGTTAGGTAAGTCTTTCTCTCTCCTCTCGATCGATCGTTTGTCTCTCGTCTCTCTCTCTCTCACCTCTTGATCGTCTCTCTATGTCTCTTGCCTTTCCCGATCATCTCTCTCTGTCTCGATCGATCATCTCTCTCACTTTTGCGTCTTGCCTCACTCTCTCCCTCTCTCGATTGTCTCCTTTTTTATTTTTTATTCTTTCCGAGACCTTATCTCTTCTCTCTCTGACCTTTTGTCTTGTCTCTTTTTTCAATATTTATATATTTTATATTTCATATTTATACACCTTGTAACACCCCAATTTTCATACCCAAATGATAATACAATAATCATAGCTCTTCAAGGTAAATCTAAAAATAAATCTCCACACTTGCATTACATGATACAAATAGTCTTCATGCGATAACACATTCACTTCAAATCAAATAACATAAACAGATAAATACCCTCATGGGTTCACAAGTTCCCAAGGCTTAGGCCCGGTTACACAAATCAGTTATTCAAACCACACAAATATAGCCATTGGCTTACAAAACAGAGTCATGCAAAATGAGAGCATTGTGCTCCCAACACACACACTTCCACGCCCTTAGTTAGGTGGAATCACCACGTCCTTTTCTGCACAAAAATCCTGTAGGGTGAGCTTAAAGCCCAGTAGGAGATCCTTAACAAAGTATATACATTTTATACAAGTCTCAAGATAATAAATGCACATGCCATGCTATGTTCTTTTGAAAGTAAGACGCATCTGCATATTTTGAAAATCAT